GTTCCCCTGACAGATGCCACCCCGCCTAGCCTTAGGCAAGCTAGGGGAAGGACCGTAGGATGTGTTCGTGGGCGTCAACTTGCCTCACCCTCGGGTCTGTGCCTGCTATCAGGAAGACCCTCTCATTAGGACTTAGAGGCTACTGGGAGATTGCTCGAGTTTCGGCATCCGACGTTCCCGTACTAGAAAGCTCGTTCAAGTCCACTTTCATCAGGGCTGGGTTATGGCGAGCCTTGGTGCCTGTCACTGTTGTTCGGTCCAAGTTGCCGTTGATATTGGAAGGGAATGGTCCTGAGTGTTGGTCACACTGAGGTAGGATAGTAGCGATAGGGGGTGCGCTAGGTTATAGACGTGCTTTGATATGTTGGACATCTCAAATGCTCTCGTTGTCTGCAAATTCTCTCTTAGGTAAGATGCCTTCTGCCCTCCATCCCCTTACGGTTTGAAATATATATGTATACATATGTATATGTGCAAGTGTGCCGCTTTGGCGGCAGACGGGTGTGCGGGCACTTGGCGCTGAACCACACAAACGTGGTCAATCTTGCATCTTCTATTATGTTGCCTATCTATACTTTTTCGTTATGGATGACTTGTGATGATTTTTGAAGAGAATAAGAGAGAGAATCTGGGGTCTTTTAAGACAACACGCACACACACACACACACACGCGCGCACGCACACACGCACACAAACATGGGCAGCCTTGTACGTGCAAGGTATAGTAACAGGGGAGGTGCAAGAACACATGGAAGGGATAGCCAACAAGGAAAACCAAAGCGAACAAAGCTTTTAATGGTTTTTTTTTTGGTTTTTTTTGGTTTTTTTTGTTTTTTTTTCAAAAAATGCTCCAGTCTATTCGTGGGGAGGTGGTTTTTTTTTTTTTTTTTTTTTTTTTTTTTTTTTTTTTTTTTTTTTTAATGGTTCTATTGTGCCCATGGCCTGCAATAGGAAAAAAACTGCTTCGATTCTGAATCTACTCATCTGGCTGGAATCGGGGCTGTTGTGGGGGAAATTTAAAACACACACACTTGCATCTTCTACTATACCGTCTATTTATCTCTTTTTGGTTTATGATGGTTTGTGATGATTTGTGGATGGAATGAGAGAGAGAATTTGGGGTCTTAAGACACTCACATGCACACGAAAAAAGAGAAAACAGCAAGATGAAGAAGAAGAATGTCCTCAAGAACCGGACCCATGTGGCTGAATGGTAGACGGATGTAACTGTTTAACAGATAACTGTGTCACAGATTATGAGCTGGAATCACAGTAGAGTCGGATTGATACAGTAAGGTTAGGGGCTACTCCCTGTTTTTTCTTTTGTTCTTTTTTTTTTTTGAAGCCGTGGACCAGTAGATTCTTATCCTGTGTGGTGCGGAAGTTTGAGTGAATGTGGCAACTGGAGCAACTGTTAAATCGGGTGAACGAAACATTGTTCCACACAAGCAGTTCACGAAGTGCCAACTCACTTGTCCAGGGTCAAAACACACCCTCTCAACAGATTCATCCTGCCGCCTTCAACACCACTTGGAGGGCACTTGACCTATCACTTTCCCAGCCCCTCCACCTGTTGTCTCCCTGAATCCCCCCTTTCCCTTCCTCCCTACCACCCAATACAGCCTCCCAACCTCCCCTTGTGTACATTTCTTTTCTTTCCTTCTTCTCTCTCTTTCAAAATGCAAATATTATGAAAATGATGAAGAGATGCTTCCAATGCTTCCTGTGCTTCCCCACCTGGCTGTGGGCCCTCCGGCTGCTTTTCTCTCTCCCTGCTGTTCATTCTTTCCTGCTCATCTGCATGCCTTTCGCACTCCCCTTGATGCCGCCTCCAAATCTCCTCTTTCGCTGATCTTCCACCCTCAACAAACTTGCTTGCCAGAACAATGTAAATGGATGAGTGCAGTGTTGATAGGGACACACTGGTTCTTTTTTTTCTTTTCTTTTCTTTTTTTACCAGATTCGGACCTGCTAGGGGAGGCTGTAAGAGCAGCCTCCCCAAGCAGGCCTTCTGCTGGTGCTCCAATCTATTGGTGGGGAGCTACATGTGCTGGAAACCGGGTTCAGCATCCAACATACATAAAGTATAAGGGAGGCTGTAAGAGCAGCCTCCCCCAGCAGGGCTTCTGCTGGTGTTCCAATCTATTGGTGGGGAGCTACACGTGCTGGAAACCGGGTTCAGCATCCAACAGACATCAAGTATAAGATTGTATCTGGTTACCGGGGCCACTACCCAGCTTCGGCTTAAGAAAGGGGCAGCATGCCTAAGCTGCCTGTTGGGAAAAGAAACCAATGTGAACACCATGTACATATTATGAGTAGAGAACACCACAGAACTTCGAAGAAAAGCTTAGACTCTGCAGACATTGCAGAGCTCATCACATTCTCATGTCAGGTCCTCTCATACCACCTCTGTCCTCCGACTTCGTTGCGACTTTGTGGTTGTGTTTTGTGACGAGACTATCCAACCATGAAGAGGAGATCCAATCTTGGCTGGCTTATGATGGGTGGGGGGATAGGGAATTCACAACAGAAGGGGATGGTTAGGATGGGAAGGGCTGAGACTAGGGGCCGGAATACCAGGCAATATCCATGGTCCACTTGTGGGTGAGATGGGCTGAGAAGTGCTGGGGAAGGAGTGATGTCCGGGGGAGGGGGACGGGTGGGTGGGATGGGAGGGTGAGATGGATGGGTGTCACGGGGCATGATCTGATGGGGCTGGAAACGACTCCTTGTACCAAAGTGAAATGTGTTGGTAGAAAGGGGATGTGAAAGAAGTCTCTTGGTCTTCTTTCCCATTGCCTCTCCTTTGTGAGCCAATGTTTCCATTGCAGGTTGTTCTGCTGGCCACAACTCACAAAGTCTGTGGTTACTGTCCATCCAGACTCCATAGCGTAAGGAAGTTGTCCGACATCTCCCACCTCCGGGCATCATCAGATTCATTAGAGAGCATTTCCTTGAGCTCCCTCCAGGCGGCTTGTGTGTTTGGCGTGATTGTGTCCACAGTAGTTGCCCGCACTTGTATGAAGTCAGATGTATGTTGTTGCCTTCCAAACAAGCAGTGCATCTTCCAGGCTTCCATCGGAACCGCCAATACGTGAATAAGTTGGCCATGAACAATGTCCATCGGAACCGCCAATACGTGAATAAGTTGGCCATGAACAATGTCCAGTGGTTGGATTGTTGGACGGGGTCTCCCAAGAGGAGAGCTTCAACATCCCACGGAAGTGGTTCTGTCAGATAGTGACAGGCCACTACCGAGGGACACTCAAACAAACAATCTTCTACGGTGGCCGGTTTTTTGGGGGGAAGCAAGCCCACAGTAAGCGCATAAGGGAGATGGTATCCCCTTTTCCCCCAGGTCTGTTTTTTGGACGTGAGCCAATCTGGTGTGGGCAAGCTTCGGTGAAAAATCTGCCATTGCAATGCCCTGTAGTTGGTGGGTTTGATGTGGGAATAGGGCGCCCATGTGAAAGAGCTGAGATCCTCTTTTGGGACATACTGCTTATTTCCACTGTAGTTCATCCTGAATAGCAACCCTCCTGAAGCCAAGCCCCTTGGCCACCACCACCAACACAATACCACGCACACCTCAGGAGTGCATACCCCCCCCAAAAAAAGAACGGACATGTGCAATTTCACAGCCTCATTGCGACATGTGACGCCAATTGCCCAGGGTCTATGCCTGAATCGATCATGTGAAACAACAGCGACACCGTGTCACAGGCTCTACCGTCACGGAGGAGACTGTGTGCCAGACATAAAAGAACGACTGAAATGCTACAAGTGACTTCAAGCATTCCAGCGTCGCCCTTCTGCCTCATCCAATCAGGTGATGATTCCTGTTTTCTCTCTATGGTAATCTCAAATAATGTGACCCCAACTACTCTCTCTGCTCTCAAGGCCTTGAAGCCCTTCATCCATTCGCCAGCCGACTTCCGCCTTCCTCAAGTCGCCAAAAACTGAGATTTCGGCGTTCTGAGCAATGTTCATCGGATCGACTTTAGTCGTTCTGTGTTCAAATGTCCGAAGAGCCTCCAGCTGCAGATAGTGCATGTCCAAACTCGGAATCCAGTGGTCAACCGGGGTCTGCTGCCAGGACAACAATGGTCGGGAGCTGGGGTAGGTCGAGCTGCCCTGTAGCTTAGCAGCATGTTGGGGACGTGAGGCCGGGTATAGGCTTGGTAGTGACAAGAGTACAGCGAAGTTTGGGTTCGGATTGGCCACAGTGTCATTTGGATGGCAGGATTTGGTAGAAATGAGGTTAGAGGTGGTTCATGAATCTTCATAGCTTTTTCTGAATTTTTCTCAGCCGAATCCGGGTAATGGCTTTTGGTATCCTCCAAAATATCATCAAACAAATAGATGTAATTTCTTAAGGGATGCTGGGCCCGGTTCCCAGCACGTGCTGCTCCCCACAAATAGATGGAGATTTTTTTTAATGTATGTTGCAGTATGTATATAAAAAAAAGGTGTGCTGTTCAGACAGGTTCCTAACTGCTCTGAACATCATTCTATGGTCCCTTTTTATCCTTGGGATCACACAAGCGAAGCATGAGAGCTCGGTCGTTCGAAGCATTTAATCCAAAGGACGAGAATGGGTCTGCTTGCTATGATGGTGAAAGTGGCAAAGCAGGCTATATGTATTTGACGAGGGATTCCTAAAAAGGACACTGTGGACACAGTGGAGAGCGGGCTGAAACAAGAGAAAGTAGAACGGAAACAGGGAGGCTTTTGGAGATTTCATGTATTTCCTCCCTCTCTCTCTCTCTCTCTCTCTCTCTCTCTCTCTCTCTCTCTCTCTCGCGCGCGCGCGCGCGGGGGCG